TAAACTAGCTACTGCAGGCAGTTTGAGGGGGGGAAAAAAAAAAAAAAGGCAGTTATGATTTTTTTTCAAGAGAAGTTATTGTTGTGTTATCTGAAATTCAATATATCTCACAATAAACACAGGTCTCTGAATACTTAAGTGACTTCAGAGAATACACTACGCTATCTTGCAGAGATAAATCACTGCTTTTGAAAACCCCACCCCTCTCTCAATGTGTACTCTTAAATGATCGCAGCCAGTAACAAAGATACACATCCAGAGCCTCTGAATGAGGCTCCAAGGCTTTAAGAGGCATAAGATTTTGTCCCTACTATATTCCAGAAACTTCTGCTTTGCTGATTACTTAGCAATAAATCATTTACTTTATGGGACCTGTGGCAGAGTCAAAGCGCTATTGACTAGAGTAGTTGAAGAAACTCAAAGACATCACTGTACTTTTATTCTCAGTGCCTCCACACAGCGCTAAGATGGCAGTAGCAAGCGTGAAGTGAGACTAACTATGCATAGAGGGATGTTGAGACTTTTGTGCCCAGTCAGTGAACCTTTATACTTCTGGATTCATTCCTGTTAGTGGAGCTGACTATGTTTGGAGAGACCTAGGGTTAGGCATCACACACCTGACATCTAAATACTTGTCTGAGCGTTCCTCCTTTGACTTGGTTGACAGTCAGGCTCTGACGGTTGCTTTCTTTGCCAGTCAAGTATATATATTATATTGCAAGTATATACATTACACTGCAAGTATAACTCTCATTATAACAGGATCATTTGCCTCCTGTCTACCCTGAACCCAGGACTCCAGATTACAATTTCTTAGCCCATCACAAGCATCCTTTAGGACAGAATCATATAGGATCATATCATAGAATTGTTACATCCTCAAGTTCCAACCCCCCTTCCATGGGCAGGGACACCTCCCACCAGCCCAGGTTGCCCAAAGCCTCATCCAGCCTGGCCTTGAACCCCTCCAGGGATGGGGCATCCACAGCTTCTCTGGGCACCCTGGGCCACTGCCTCACCACCCTCACAGGGAAAAATTTCTTCCTACTGTCTGGTCTAAATCTCCCCTCTTTCAGCTTATACCCATTACCCCTTGTCCTGTCACTCCACTCCCTGATGCAGAGTCCCTCCCCATCTCTCCTGTAGCCCCCTTTCAGCACTGGGAGCTGCTCTAAGGTCTCCCTGGAGCCTTCTCTTCTCCAGGCTGAACACCCCCAACTCTCTCAGCCTGTCCTCACAGGGGAGGTGCTCCAGCCCTCTGATCATTTTTATGGCCCCCAATTTTGTGGATCTTGGACAAGATGTTTGTCTTCAGCTCCCTGAAAGTAAAATAGGGTAGAAAAGCCTCTCCCTAGGATACAATGATGGTACTAATATGTCTGTTGAAGTGCTTAGGTAACAGGAGCATTTATATTCCTGGCGTCTCCCTAGGATACAATGATGGTACTAATACGTCTGTTGAAGTGCTTAGGTAACAGGAGAATTTACATTCCTGGCATGGACAAAATGTCAAATGCCTACCTGTGCAACTAGCTCCCCATTCTCCGCATGGACTTGAGCAACTGCTCCAAGTTCCTTACAGCAGGAAAAGGCTGCATATAACTCCTCATCATTGATCATGTATAGATCTTTGTAGGCCATAAACATCTTAAAGGAGTTGACCCCTTTGTTTTGAACAAGACTTTCCATTTCTTCCTTCACCTGAAAGACAGTCAGCAATTTTTCAAAAACAGAAATATTATATTTTACCTGTTAAGAATTTTCTATAAAGAAATTTTAAGTATGAAGGGTAAGCCTTTACTTACCCATCAGACATATATATTAGCCCAAAGGTTGCTTGTACAGCTGGGCAGCTAGAACTACCCGCTACCTAACTTTGGCTTTCCCTTCCCCGTAAAATCATGGTGACAGTAATTGACATCTGTGATGCTATGACAACTTCCATGAGATAAAGTAAAACATTATTTTTCATATTCTCTCTAATAATCTGGTTGGATCTGCCCAAGAAAGGTCTACAATTGATATAAAATTCAAGGAAATTTTCTGGACTTATCCAGAGGAGGGATGGGAACATATCTTGGGAATTATCAGATTAATACCTGACATAAGGCCCTGCTCTGGCACAAAAACAGAGGCATGTCATGTATTTCCTTCTTCACTGATTCCTGTGACTAAGGGAAGACACCGTAAAGAATGTATGTTTTTAACCAACAGTTTAAATCCAAATTATTGTCTCCAGTCTTTCTTTACTTCAACAAGATGTTACTGCAGTCACCCAGTAATACAATTGTTCCTTTACAAATAAAGTACTATATTTTTCATGTATAACCTTATTAAAAAAAAACAAAACACCACCAAGACTCAACAGAGATAAAGGAGCACAGATTGTCAAGTGTTCAAGTAACAAAAGGGAAAATTCACGCAAACACCTCTTGCCGTCTCTGGTGTGCCTGGTCTTGGTCTTGCACAACTGCTTCCTTTTCCTTTAACTCGGTGCAGTTATTGTCCAAAGATATTCGCTATCTGCAGACCTTCCTTATTTTTTGAAATGCATGTACTTTTAGAAGGGTGTGGACTCTTTCAGGTGTGGTTTTTGCACACAAACATACTATGACACTGCCAGGAAGCTCTGTTTAGCACATGAGGACTAATTCAAAGCAGATGTAGTATCAATCCATGGAACTGAAAATCAGCTTTTGTGTCTACCTTGTTGTCCCACCACGTAACTGCCACGTGCAGTGCATAATCACAGCAGACTTTAGGGTCTGCCCAGCTTTTCCACGTATCAAAGGCTTCAATAAGAGAACAGCCTTTCTGGGGGATGGCAAAGTCGATGATCATAGTGGTTCCTCCTGCTAGAGCAGCCTGAAAGGAAGAAAGTTCATATTTAGCAATCAGAGAGAACGCATATTTCTCCCACCCTCTCCAGTTTCCTGGGCAACACCTAGCCTTGATACACTGAAAAGCCAAAAGCCACTGAAGAGTTTCCAAGTGAAGTCTGAACTTGCAAAATGATTGTGGAGGGTAATTCCACCTCCTTTGAGAAGGATGTTCTCAACGAGGTATTCAGAAGAATCATGGGGAAATTTGGAGGCTGAAGGAGAAGTTTTTGCACATACATGTATGAGATCTTATCAAAGACCTGAATTTTATTCCTGCATCGGTGAGTTTCCTTAAGCAGCTGGGATCACCAAGAAAGAAGTGCATCAGAAGACCATAGTCAACTTGAGAAATGCCTCCTCAGAGTCTACGTGGTTCAAAAATAAGCCTACGTGACAGGAAAGTATTAAGGGGCAGACACACAATGGAAAAAAAATAGATTCCGTTTGAAAATCTAGTGTGAAAATCCCCAAACTCTTGTCTAACACCAAAAGGATTTTTAAAGTGTTTTAAAAATATTTTTATTACTGACAGGATATAATTTAATAAAACTGCACAGCAGGTTTTCAGATGGAATGAGGTAAATGTTTATATGGAGGATGTAAATAAAAATAAATAAATAAACAAAAATCTTACTTTATGTATGTAAGATCAAAAGTTGCTTTTTAACCAATAATTTCCACTCTCCTTTAAGGTCAATTAAACTTTTTTTTTTTCCTTTGAAGGATCTTTGTTAATCATTCCCAGAAACCAGATCCTCGACCAATAGCAATTGATCCACTATAGAAATTCCTTTGCTGTAATTGTTGCAATCTTCCAAATCAGACAGAGAAATCCTCTCTGTTGCTCTGAACAACATCCCTTTGCACAACAGACACAAACAATTCAGATCAAAACACACACAGTTCAAATTCATGCTACATTACTCTTCCTATTTTAGATCAATCAGTCCCTTCCTTCTCTTCACCTAGTAATCAGCAGCAAAACTGTAATTATGTCAGTATATTTTGCAAAAAAACAAGTTTGGAGAGTGACATAAATATTTGTGAATCTGTGATGAATTCAGCAAAACATTTGCTCCAAAAGAAGTTGTTCAAACTGTCAATTTTTTTTTCAACAAGACAGACTGACTTCTTATTTGTTAAACAGGATTTAAAGAATATTTATAGACTTCAAGAAACAAAAAGTCATGGGTTCCACAACTCCACTCAAAATCTCCTTTTTCACCTAATATCTTTTTTCCCCTCTTTTCATAGAGAGGTATTCTGTGCCTTTATTGATTCAACCGAATGGGTAAATCTTAGCTAATCATTGTAGCGTATTTTGCAATAGTTGAAACACAACTCTGTCTCCCTGTTTCTCTTCCCAAAATATTTGGCAGATCATGACCTTCCGTAAATAGCTCTGAACACTTTCCACTCTTTGACCTGGCTTAAGAAGGTCCACAATAACTAACTTTTTGACAATATTTAACTTTTTTTGGTGACTGTGCTTAACACTTGCCACTCACAGACAGAACAGTCTCTGAAGGAACCCAAATAACTTCCTGGTTGAAGGTGGACCTCCAACCGCTTATTGTCCCAGTCAAGGGACAGTAGCAATTGCCTGCACTTGATTCACACTCTGTTCTCTCTTTTAGAAGTAATATGGAATAACCAGCAGACATCCCTTTCTAAGAAAGTTCAGATGTGCACCCACCTTCGTTCCTGTATAGAAGTCATCTTTTGACCGGCTGCCCATGAAAGGGAACTGCATGTGTGTATGAGTATCAATGCCCCCAGGGATCACCAGCTTGTTGGTCGCATCCAGCACGACAAGTCCAGTGGCTGGCTCCGGGTTTAGGTTCGGTCCCACCTGCTGCACGACTCCATCTTCCACGTACACATCAGCCGCCACTGAGTGGTCATCGTTCACAACTTTTCCCCCCTTGATCAAAAGTCTCTGCTGAGCTAGGTTTTGGGGTGGCATGGGAGACTAGAAGGCAAAAGTGAGGCCTCTGCTCAGAAAGTTGCTCTTCCCTGGGAGTATTTCACTGCCCACCCTTCTCCCAGAGCAGCAGGTTATCTTCAAATGGCCCTAAGCACACACTGCACAGTGCTATTTAAACAGACACCAGAGGAACCCTGCCCTCGGCAGCTCTGCCTACCGCCTCCCGTGAAGCACCAACGCCCGGCAAGTGCAGCGAGGCAGTGCACAGGCTGGGGGCAGGGAGATGGCTACCAGCCCAGTCTGCTCCAGTTCCCTTTGCCTGGAGAAAGCAGGTCCAGGCTTTCACAGAATCATTCAGGTTGGAAAAGACCTCAAGGATCATCAAGTCCAACTGTCAACCCAACCCCACCCAACCCACTAACCCATGTCCCCAAGCACCACATCTACACGGTTCTTGACCCCCTCCAGGGATGGTGACTCCACCACTGCCCTGGGCAGCCTGTTCCA